CGTCGGCATCCTTTGCGGTCGTGCATGCGGTTTTTGTTCCCTGGCTGCAGGGTCCTAAGGGCCTACCGAAAATTCAATGAGCCAGGAGCAGCAAGCAGTGGGACCTCCGGAAGTAGCGCTGGCACGAGAACACCGGGACTTTCGACCGATGCCACAACATGCTGCAGCACACAGACTCCGTAAACTGTTTTGGAAGGTGCTGTGGTCCAAGAGTCGCAAAACTGGATTCAGCGCAACTGCGCCGGAGGCTGAACGGGATTTGAGATGAGGCATGTACCACCATGTGCCTGTGAATGCAAGAAGGGATGCCGAGGATAGTGATGACGAAGCTAGCAATCTTGAGGTAATTGCTGATTGGGTTCTTGAGGCGGGCAGCTTCATCTGTGTGTGAGGATGGTGTGGAGCCAGGAACCCTGCAGCATCATCATTATGGTTATTGTTGTGCTACTGCTGGTGCTGGCGGGAATGCTGGTGGCATTTGTTGCTGATAGTGGAACACTTTCCCCATCCTAGTGATCCGCTCCGAACATCATGTCGTCGTCATATACACCAGTTCTCCAGGACCCAGGATAGCAGCCAGCTGACAAGCATCATTTTCGTTATCTTGTTCACCGTTTGCACTGACGATGGTCCTCAGCATCGATGTGCTTGTCGCTGCCAGCTTCAGCATTCACATGGCCGTCATCAACACCCAGTATGTGTTGTAATTCTTCACCGTGGTCAGACACTGACTCAACTTTGTCCCCGTTGCCTTCCTCAACGTCACCATGATCAGCGGCAGTACATCACCACAGCAGCAGCAGAACCCGATGTGCAGGAGGCGTGTGTTTCATTCTTTGGCGACAACATGTGAGGAATCACGGCAGAATGCTCGAAGCAATTTTCACCTCGCACGTACATTGAAGTCAAAGCAAGGCTCTGACAGAATGTATCGTGGCAGACTGTGTTGCAAGAACGAAACCAGTGTGAAGGGGCCTTAGGGTGTTGTTGTTCGACCCGATGCTTGGAATCGTACGGAGGCGTACAATGGTGCAATCGCTAAGTCACGCCTGGAAGCTGGGGCTGCAGGAAACCGCTTCGGTTCTTCGCCAAACTTACGAAGCCTTCACGACCCAGCGTTCAAGTCCCAACCGCACACGCATTTTCTCCACATGCGATCGCAGCAAACGGCTTCAAATCTGCTGTCTAATTTCTTGTCAATAATGCATCCCAGGTCTAAGCCAAAAAGCTCTGCTCCGAAACCCAAAACTTGAATCCCAAAACTCCCCCTTACTGCGCAGGCAAGTACGGCGGCATGAAAGACCGCTGGGAGAACGTCCAATATCCCCTGCCATGGCTCAAGGCTTCGATGGCTTGAGGAAGGTTCTGATGGGTACTTCTACTTAGAAATGTTTTTTGGTTGTTATAACCTTAAACAGCGAGGAATATAATTTCTGTAAGGGTACCAGTATAGGTTTAGGACTCTAGGACTAGCATTTAGAGTTCAGGGTGTAGGACGAAGGGGATAAGGACCCGGATTTGGGGTTTAATGTAGCGGGACGTAGCGCGGGTCGTTCATTTTGATTTGATTTGGTGACCCTCTCTCACGTGCCGGCTGGGGCCGGTTCAGCATTTTGGGTTTTGGGGTGACCCTCTATCATATGCTCCGGAGGGGGTGGATAGGGGGAGTGGTGGCCTCCCGCGACCACAGACATGTATGTTGTTCTAGCAGAGAGTTGCTTTTGTTCGTGGCCTTCTCGGGGATCTCGCAATCTCAAGTCTACCAGGCCCTGCTTTTCAAGAACTGTTTCTTTATTCACTGTCTTCGCCCTTGCCAGTTCCGACCGGTCGGAGGACCCATGGGAACAACGTTACGCGAACCTTTCACAATGAAGGAACCCCAAAAGCCCTTACATAAAGACTAAACTTTAACTATATAGATTCTAAAGTCTAAATCTCCTTCCAAGCCTGCGCTTGGAATTCGACATTGGGTGAATGATGAATGTTTGCTCCAAGGGCTTCCGTCCTGCATCAATGGTTGTGCTATTGTCTTCAGATGCTTCAAGATCCGCTGTATGGTTCGAAACAGTGAACTGACTCAACGTCAGTGAAAAGAACTAGTTTACATGTGCTTGCAAGCCCCAGGTCGCGTCAGCCAGGCGTAGACCCTCAAGGAGAAAGTTTAACAAGTCGAGCCCCAGTGTTGAACATTTGTCAATAGCGACAGCCTGGCGACCTTGACCGTTCCGGCTGTTCCGGCCCCTTTTTCTCATACACGCCCTATCAACTGAGAAGTCGTGCATGGTACATCAGCCCTACCCCAGACTGAACCTGCAGCCCGGTTACTGTACATCCTGGACCTGATATGGCTTCTCCTCCGTGGATCCAAATTCAAGTCCCCTGAGGCCAACCGCAAACTGTACCGCGAGCACAGAACGGTTGTGCTGCCGGACTTTCAAGGTCTGGGTGCCGTGGCTATAGCCACACAGCAACAACAGTCTGGAATCATCGATAGGCGAAGACAAACACGTAAGCATCAATGTCAAGAGCTTCACACGGCTCCTACAAGGATCTATGGGGGTTGTTTGCCTCTAATTTATAGGCTTCTGCACATTTTTGGCTGATGCAGCCCCATGTTGTGAGCATCTACGTGGCTCCACTTGCTTGCTGTGCGACATAAGTGCGGTCTCTTTCGCATGTTGACTGTAGCCTTAAAGCCTGGCCTTTAGCCCCCTCGGTCTAGGAATTGAAGACATGCTTTGCGACACATCCACCTGACTCGAAAGTCCAGTCTTGCACTTCTTCTTGGTTCCTGCTAAACAACCGTAGCCTAGGGGCTGAGTAGGTAACTTTTAACCTTTTGGGCTTACATAATCCTACTAAGGCCCTGGGTGCCCAGCCCCTAAGTAACTTGAAGGGTGTAATGTCGAACGCTGATTCGTGTTGGTCTCAAAGAAACAACAAAAAAGCATGCGGTGCCAGGGCTTGGTCTCCCTGTAAGAGTCTGGGTAGTAGAACTAGTGGTGACTGGTACCGAAATAGTAACAATAGTACAAGTCATAGTAATAGAAGCAGTATTAGTAGTCGTAATCGTAATGGTAGCTTTGACAGCAACAGCAACATTATTTCCACCAGTAATGATGGGAACAGAGCCCTGCTTCCCCAACAGAAACCGCCAGACAGAGCTGACATGAAGGGATAACCTAAACCCTAACCCGCCCTTCAAAAAAAAGTTACCAACCTCAACAAGGCCGGGCAAGCTTTACAGTCTTGCATATTCAAATCATGCTTCTACATCCCAGGATTTTGGGAGTCTCCTACATTGTTTTATAGAGTCTTCGCAGAACTTGGAGTACTCCGTGAGCACTTTTTCTTATCGGCATCCATTTACACCATTCGGAGTGGTTAGTGTACATGCGGGCATCAGCTTAAGAAACCCGATGTCCTATACATGCAGCAAGCTCAACCCGCGGTTCAACATCCCACATTTCAAGTCATGTGCCAAAAGTCAAGGCCACTGATCTTCAGCAGCATTTGCAACATGTTCCAGCGTAATTATCGAGAGTCAACAAACCAAGGTGTGGCGCCGGTTCTTTGCGATACTGTCGCAAACCTCATCCTTCGCAGCAACTGTGACTTTACCTCGCGTCGCGGCACAACCTGACATTTGATGGCTTTTGCGTTCCCGCTATGGAAGACACCTAGCCTCCTAAACCCGAAGAATTGAACTTGAATGACTAAGCACAAGATCCCAAAGCCCTGAACCTTCGGCAAGCCAGCTGGAAAGTCTTCCCCAATGAAGTTGACAACTGAAGACCCAAACGCAAAAACCTTAAATCGCTCGAGCCCATCACCTGAAAGCCCTTAAACTCTACACCCCACCCGAACCCTGAAGCCCCCAACCCCCCAATCGGCAAGCGACTTACTCACAAATCCAGCTGCCGTCAACGCTTTCGGCTCTTGTAATCAATATCGGATCCTTGGGATTCTGCCTTTGTGTTTGTGTTTGTTTAAGGCTGTAGTGCTCTTTTGAGAGGGGGGTAGGCTTGAAGGTTAGAGTAAGGTTCAGTTTTTCGGGATGCAGCAAGGCACCCACAGACCCATGGCGGTGGGGATCAATCCAGCAGTTAAGGGAGAACGCCTGGCAGCAGCAACGGCTCCAGACGCTTCACCCCAGTACACTCCAACGACTCAGAATCCATCACCGAGCCCCAGCATAGCTGAAGCGACAGCAGACACAACAGACCAAGGAATAGCCCCAAACCCCCCGAGGGACAGCAACCAAGGCCATGCCCCCTGTGCGCTCGTGGCAGCAGGTGGAACACAGCCAGTCGGGGGACAAAAGTTAACTCCAGCACTGCTTTTCACATCCCTCCATAAGCCCCAAAACAGTGGAGGGGGCCTCGGCGCCCCGGGGGGCTGAACAAGTCCCTCAAGCCCTACGGAAGAAGCAAGCAAGAGCCAGCATCACGTCATTGCTCCGGCCTGGCCTGCGGGCACAGCGAAGTGCAGAGCGAAGTGCCTAGCGTGATGATGTAGACTCGGGAGCGGCAGAAAGGAGCTGGCTGGTTCTCTGCCATTTCAGGGAGCACCTGGAAGGCCAGTCTCGCAGAGGTTGAGCTGTTCGGCGGTGCTCTGACGTGATGTGATTCCTTCAGGGCACGACGCCTTTCTGTGTCGCTTTCACCACACGTCAGCAGAGAGGGTTTGAGACTCCCGAGATGCCCAGCCCTGGCCGCTGGTGGTGCCGTGGGGTTGGGTTTCTCTTACGAACGGGAGCTCGATGGTATTTTCGGTGACCATTAAGAACTCAGCTTCTTCAGGCAATCATATTGTCAGTATATTATACGGCATCATACATGTCACATCCAAAGATGATAGAACGTGTCTGAGCAATACATTTACGCACTGCTGAGACCGCTATTCTCACTCAATGCTTCTGCCGCTCGCAGTCTGCAGCCGAGCAGAGCCCCAGCGTTAGGATTTTGAGCACTGCCAGAGAAGAATCCGTAAGAGCCACCATGTGCTGCCGTGCCCTGCTATTCCTGTGCACCTTCGCCGCCCTGGCCTCAGCAGCCACCGATGGGGAGCTCCGGCAGGCAGTGGTTGACGGTGACCAAGATACAGTCCAGGAGCTGATCGCCTCGGGACGGGTGAATGTGAGCGACGTTCGGGGTGAGGATGAGGAGACATTATTACACAACGCTTCAAGCGACGGCCATGCGAGAATTGTGGAACTGCTGCTGGCAGCTTGGCCCGATGGGGTCCAGGCAGTTGACAGGAGGGGCCACACGCCCTTGCATATTGCAACTCGTCGGGGCCGTTCGAAAATAGCAGAGCTGCTGTTGGCAGCTTGGCCTGATGGGGTCCAGGCCGTTAGCAAGTGGGGCCGGACGCCCTTGCATTTAGCAGCTGAGGGGTGGGGCCTTTCGAAAATAGCGGAGCTGCTGTTGGCAGCTTGGCCAGACGGTACGAAGGCCGTGGACGACAGTGGCAGGACTCCCTTGCATTTGGCAGTTGCCTCGGGCCAGATGAGCAGTGCAGAGCTGCTGCTGGCAGCTTGGCCAGACGGAGCCCAGGCCACCGACAAGGCAGGCCGCAACCCCTTCACTTTTCTGGAAAGTGCCCAAGAAGCCTACTGCGACCCGCTGATCTATGTAGGATGTAACGGCACCTCCGCAATGCATGACCACCGTCTCCGGGAAGCTGCGGTGCACTTGGAATGTTGGGATCCATTCCAACTGTCGAAACCGTCGTTGGAGCTTTGGCTCCAATGCGGCGGTGATGCTCGCTGGCGACGCGCTAAACCTCTGGTGGACATGCTCGAGAGACAAGATGCTCAAACTTTTCTCAACGCTGAATTCCTCGCATTGACCTTGAAAGACTGGAGGACATGGCTCATCCCCGTTATTGCTAGTACAGTTGCAGGTGCTGAAGTTCTTCTCGAGCAGCGACTCCAATCTTTCAGGTGGCGGCAACGAGAGCAACGGGCTGAGAATGGCGAGGAATTCTTGGAAGGTGCAACGATGTTGGTGGCACGGGCTTGTGGTGGGAGCTGGCTGATGCTCCGAAAGCTGTGGCGGTGGATCGAGGCCGTGGTCGCAGTTTTTCTTTTCGGATGGAGCTTGCTCTGGATGAACCCACAATGGTGGGTGCCACTGGTCACTTTGGCCCATTTCCTCCCTGCGGCATGCCTCCATGGACCGAAGGAGATTCTCCGCGTGCCGGTGCGTGCACTGGTGACTACCGATCTATCCAGCTTTGCGATTGCCTTCACACGCACGGCCATTTTGATGCAAATAATGTTGTTCAGACTGACGACGACTGAATCAGTGCTCGCCAACCCGCTGGCGTTGGATTGGAACGAATACATTTGGCCTGATTTGAAAGACAGCTTGCTGTCGGACCACTTTTTGTTTCGGTGGTGCCCTGAAGTCACTGGAGGTGATATTTTGAATTTGTTGATAAATGTCGCCAATATCAGTGTGGGCCCGTACATGTTATGCCTGCTCGGTGCGATACTTTTCCACTGCGCGAAGTATGCACACTGCTTTCCTGTGCGCATGGAGTGTCAGAGGTATACTGGACCTTCAAGGTCCGAGCAACTGACGATGTCCAACAATCTCTTGCTGAAGGAAAAGGCAGAGTTCAACCCAGCGCATCTGGATCATCCGAGAATCAAAGTCCAGCCAGTTTCCGCCTTGGCCTGGCCCTGGCAAGCGCCGGGGCTTTACCAGAGCGTGGCCCTGATGCTGCTGGATGTTGGCCTAGATGCAAACACCATAGGCATTTTCCTTTTCTCCCAGGACTATTTCTTCGCACTCGTCATGAGTTTCGTGGTGACTCGCAGCTGCTTCAAGCAGATGTGCCTCATCCCACCATGGCGGCTCCGAGAGGCTCCATTGCAGAAGCAGTAGCAGTCTTAAGCTCTCACAAAATCAATTCACCCCAACACGCTGCAGATTTAACAGACCCTTAGCCTCCTGATCATGTTATTCATTGAAGCAGTTGTAGTTGTAGTGCAAGGAATGCAGGTAGGATTGTTCGATCGCTGGGGGCACGAGCGGTGGTGGTGGTTGTGGTGTTGGCGGCACGACAAGCCGTCTCAAAGCCGCTCCCTTCAGATGAAGCCCATACCAACAAGGTTAATATTGGCACTATCAACCTGCCATCACATCGCAGGCGATGAAGGCCAGTGTGCGCCGTGGAATCTTGCGCCAAGATGTCCTGGACTTTCTTGAAGCAGCTGGCCAGCTCTTTATCAAAGGGCATAGGGCACACCAGTCACACTATGAAGTCTATGTCCAGATACGTAGTCCTGAATCGGGCATGCGATGTAGGACGATGTAGATGTGGATTCTCGTGACGGATGCTTGACAGCTAAGGAAGAAAAACGCTCAGAAGCTTTCTTCTGCGCTTGCATCACGGCCTACTCGGCTTGGTTTAATTCCCGAACAGCAGGTCAGCTGTTGCTGCAGTTCTTGAGCGCCTTCCTGAGCATGTACATGTTTGCGGGCTACGTCGTGCAGTCAGTCGACATGGCACTGCCGACACAGCCCGAGGGTACTCATGCAGACTTCGCGAATGACCTGGTGCAAGTAGTGGGACATCCGACCTTGGCCCAGGAGGTGGATGAGACATCGCTCTGTGTCATCCCGGAGTCAAAGGCACCAGGCCCCTCAAGCCAGGCCCAAGAGTCTGCGGGGCCCGAGAAAGTGGCAGAGGTTGCGGAGGCAGACACAGCATTGGCGAAGGACCCTGCAACACGCTGAACCTTCAAACAACAATGTATGCGTAGTCACTGGTGATGACTTACAGCGACCTTAGCATTTTTGTTTTTTCGGGCAATGTTTGTGTACCAGGCACCATTCCAAGCGAGCGATGCTCAGCTTGGGACTTTACCGCTTTTGGAGCAGACATGCATAAACACCTATGGGCCAGGTTTACTTTTCATCGACTTGATTCATAGTGGGTCCTGCTCTGCAGGAGAACAACAAGAAGGTCAAGCGGCCGACGGTGCGCGCCGCCTCCGGGTCGAAGGCGGACCGGCGCAAGTAAGCGCTGATAATAAGTCAGTCTTTTCTCATGGGCGCTGTCAGGACGTGATGCCCATGGCAGAACCTGAGCAGAAGGAGGACTGATGCCTGACACCGTCTTCGTTCACCATCCTTCGAAAGACTCTACAGACTTTGCAAACCAGCCGTAGCTTTGCATCGAGCCTTGCCAGGACGTGATCGCAGAGTCAGAACCGGAATGCGGGGAGAAGGCAAGCCTTTATATAATGGTTCTGCTGTACTGTAAGCATGTAAGTGCCAGCCCCCTCAGGAGAAGTGTCAGGAAGATGACGCGGTTGATGTGAAACTGCCCGGTTTCCCAACGGATGCCTCTGGGTCACACCGGCCAGCGACGATCGAGAAGGACTGGACTGCTACAAGCGTAAAGACTTCCAGACAAGGAAGCTGCCGTCCGCCTGCCAGGACTTGAGTCCGAAGGACGACAAAGCCAAGAAACAGAAAATGAAGAAGAAGCGTTTGAAGCAGGACTGAGAGAGTTCGTGCCCTTGGAGCTGAGGTTTTAGGGTTAGTTGCAGCAGGACGTGGGTTCTACCTTTGTGTCTCGACAGGAAGTAGCAACGGAGAAAGCCCCGAAGAGCAGCAAGGCGCCTCTTCAGAACATGTGTCAATGATCCCATGTCAACCCTGCCGTTCTACTCCTCTGACGTCCAACAGGTAAGACGCCGAAAAAGCGCTACGTGAGAAGAGCGGCCTTGCATTTTGCCGATTGCCCGGTGATAGCATGGCGCGTTTGTCTCAAAAGAATCAAGGGTCCACGAGAGGCCAGCAGAGATCACCGCCATGGTCGCGTGGAGTTGAAAAAGGTGTTGCGCTGCTGATGCGAGTGCGCCTAAACCAAACCAAAACCCCAAACCCTGAACCCTAATGCTGTAAAAGTCTGAGCCCTCGAATCCAAGGCAAACCGTGCATCCCTTCTACGGCAGCTACAGGCCAGGGGGTCTTTGTGTTCGCAGTTGAGCTTTGCTGGCCAGACCCCAAACCCTACTCCATACGTAGTCAGCTGAGCGGGTGGATAAGGGCTTAGAGTCAAAGGTGGCGCCTGGCTCCTCCACTTCGCCGATATAGTTCTGGACAGCCTCCGTCGCCGCGGTCTAGCTGTAGTAGCGGATACAAGTTACTGCTGTTTCTGTTCCTCGTCAAAGAACCCTGCTCGCAAATTTATTTCTGGCTGACCCTTGCTGCCTGCTACTTGTGGACGGCAGGGCCAAAGATGAGGTCGCGCGATCATAGCCAAGCCGGGTTCCGGTTCCGAAAAAACAGTGCTTAGAGGTGTTCTTTCGAGGGTTCGGGGTTTAGGGTTTGGTTCTGCTCAGTTCAAGCCTGTGGAAAAGGGTTTGGTTCTGACCGGGCAGACAGAAAAAAACAACTTAGATCACAGAACTCTAACCGAATTGATTGCGACTTTCTGTCAGAACCGCATAAAACGTGATTGAAAAATAAAACCTTTCTAGTAGCTCTTATTCGAACCGGTTAAAACCCTTGTCAGCCAGACCCTTCTCTCGTTGGATGGCTACGGGTTCAGAGGCTGAATAGGGCTTTTTGTTTAGGATTTAGGCGGTTTAGAGGTTTAGGTTTTAGGGTTTGGGGGTGATCAGCAGATTCAGGACCTTCAGGTCCGTCATCAAATCAAGCGGTGCCATTTCAAGTGGTCAAACGCTATGTCAGGTACGGGAAGGTGGCCCGTCCAGCATTTCAGTGCATATTCCCATGGAACAACACGGCTGCAGCGACAGGCGTTAAGGCAGAAGAGACGCGCAGAACGCTTGCAGTCTTGTGAGAGTGAAGACGCTGCGGAACCCGGGTCTGTTCAGAGATGTCAGGACTAGCTGCAGCCTGGGTCTAGTACTTGTTTCGTTTCTGTTACTCCTTGGTTTGCGTCCCTCGTGAAACGAGAAGGCTGAGCTGTTGAGGGTGTTTGATGGCACACACTCCAAGCCCATGCTGTAAAGGGTTTTGGGGTTTCGGGCCTATTTCCGGGTCCGCGTGGGATACAATTTTACATTTTTGTTATAAGAAAACTCCAACAAGGATTAAAAATGATAATTTTTGATATATCCCCAACAATGAACCAGGTTTAAGGATGTTTAGGGTTCAGGGCTGGCTTCTGCATCCTGGCATCGTCCCACAGTCCAGGCTCTATGGTTGATGCACTTGTTGCTTTCCACAACAGCCCTGGCCCTATCCGCACCACAAACGTCCAGAAAACCTCAGAACCTCTTCTGTCCTTAAACCCGACATTCTGAAACATTGAATCCTAAGCCCAAAGCCCTAAAAGACACTAAAAACCCTAAACCCAAAACCCTAAAACCGCTTTGGAGTCGTGGATTCTTGACCAGGGATCGCAGCCCGTTCTGGCGAGCACTGCCTACCAATCGGCAGCCCGGGTCTGCACCATGGCTACATATACATATACATATATATATATGTACATGCAGGGGCCTTAATAATTAGAATGGGGTTCTGGGGTCCTTTTATAGTATAGTTGTATTAATAATAAGGAACCCCCTAAATATACAGGTGATTATTGAGGCCCTTATATTACATACACCAGTCCGGGTACTAACCGAGACGGCACTTATTGTGGGGGCGCCCCCTCGTTTGCCTGCTGGGTCAGGTTACAGAGTCCTGCATTGTTCTACTCACATGCAACTTTCCTTTGCAGTACAGCAGGCTTCAACTATGCTTAGCTACGCCGTGCGGGACGTGATTGGAGTCTTTCCTATACATGCTTGCGGCAGCCCATGTTCGTAGCTCTAGTGTCGTCGTTTTTATGACTATTTGTCGTTTGCTTCGATTTCTGATTGCTCGTAGGTCGACCACATAGAGCGGAGATGCAGGAAGTCGTGCGGCACTTCTAGCTGAAGTTTTCATTTTCCCATGGAATGCAACCCAGTTCCCCGTGAGCTTTAGAACCCCAATGTGTAGCGCTTGTCAAGTTGCTCCAGCTTCCAAACATCATCAACCAACTCAGACCTCCCACCCCTGACCCTGAGATTTTAACAGATGCCTCAAGTTTTCTGGGTAATGCGCAGGTTGTTCATCGAGGTGCCTCTGAATTCGCATGTTTTTGTTAAAATCTTTTCGGTTTTAAGTAAAATCTTGCTGCTTGAGGAAATATGAGTGTAAATAGATTTTATTAACATCTTTTTCTGTTTTGAATAAAATCGCTTAGTTTTTAAAACAGGTTCGTTCAATCATTTTCCTGGCTCGATCAAGGGGGTCGAGAACTGTTTAAACTGCTTTTGCCTGGGGTTGGGGTTCCAAGTTCGCTGGCAAAAATAAGTGCTCTGCAATCTGTGGATGTACTGGTGCTTCCCCGGACCCCCGAAGCGTATTAAAACCCGAGGCGATGACCGAAAGCCCATGTGCAGAACCGGCAAGAGCCCGTCAACTCACACAACCTCTGTCCCCACTCTCAACCCTAGACCTTAACGCTCAACGCTAGGATTCTAAATATAACCACAAAAAGGAACTACGATGGAGCCTATGGGTAAGCCCGAAATCCTAAACCCCTAGCGACCGTGAGCTTCCAGGTCATCAACGGCAACCTTAAGTACTCCCATGCCGCTCCACTCCGACTTAGGGTTGAGGGCTTATAGGCTTTGGGTTTAGAGTTTAGGATTAGAGTTTACCGTTTAGGGCTGAGGGTTTAGGGGTCGGGTTTGGTCTGTAGGTTCTGGTGGCCGTGGTAGCTGAGGTGGCAATCACATTCCTGGCATGTTGGTTCTGATAGACATAAGCTGTCAGTTTTGATGTTGAGCCAGATGAAGATAACCAGTGATGGCGATGGTGGTGCTGCTAATGCCTGCAGTTATTGTGTCACTGCTGGTGCTGTGTATAGTGCGGAAAGATTTGCACAAGCAACGCCCTCGCTTTCAAGTTTGTCGGGAACAATCACGGTAGTCGCAGCCTGGAGCCAGCTTCACAAAGTTGTAACACCTTCCTGACTCTGCTCGCTGAAGCAACCTGTACGTTATCACTCGCCTGCCGCCTACCGTGCAACTGACCAGAATTACACCATCACCCCGCCCCACCCCACCCTTGCCTGAAAAGGAAAGGTGGGTCTGACAGGGCACTGAGGCCGCGTAATCAGTGAGCAGGCGCAGAAGCTGTAGCAGCAGCAGCAGCAGCAGCAGCAGCGGAAGCAGTAGCAGCGGCTGTAGCAGCGTCAGTAGCAACAGTAGAAGTAGCACTACTGTAGCAGCAGCAGCAGCAGCAGCAGCAGTAGCCGTAGCCGTAGCCGTAGCAGTAGCAGTTGCAGCAGCAGCAGTAGCAGTAGCAGTAGCCGTAGCCGTAGCCGTAGCCGTAGGAGTAGCAGTAGCAGTAGCAGTAGCAGTAGCAGTAGCAGTAGCAGTAGCCGTAGGAGTAGGAGTAGGAGTAGGAGTAGGAGTAGGAGTAGGAGTAGTAGTAGTAGTAGTAGTAGTAGTAGTAGTAGTGGTGGTAGTAGTGGTGATAAGAATAAGAGTAATAATAATTGTAATCGCAATAATACTCATAGCAATTGTGCATAGTAATAGTATCTGTAGCAGTAGTAGTGATAGCAGCAGTATGGCAAGTAAGCCACACAGATAACTTTCGCAAAAAATGTAACTTTTGCGGCACCATCGCCGAGCTTTCGCGAAGGCATATTTAACTATGCAGTTGGCCGCTCATATAAATTTTGGATCAAGGAGTTTTAGATCAACTACCATTACGTATGTATCTGTAATGCCTAATCATATACTATAAATGCTATGCATACCCTAAACCCTAAACACTGAGCCCTAAAGTCTGAATCCTAGATTCGGAGTGTAAGTACATGGAGCCGTAAGGTTGGCTCGTCAGCAGAATGCAGCATATCAGACGTGGGAGAGTGCTTTCAGGCTTCCCGTACGGGGGCTCATAGCCTTCCAAAGGCATGTTGAAGTTTTTCATTTGGGTTTAGGGTTTAGGGCTAAATTGATTTTTTATGGGGTTCCTTAAAGGGCTTCATGGGTTTTGTAGGGTTTAGATGCTATTTCTGTCACTTCCAAAAGACCTTTATAGTGTTCTTTTTGCGGGTTTCATGGATGTTGTAGACTTGACTAACTCTCCCAACTGCCAAAGCACCAAGACAGCATCGAAGAGGAACCATCCATCGGTGCAGCAGCGTGCCCAACCATAAGCCATGAGCCTCCTGGGTGGGGGCCAAAGCAAGGCCATCAAGGCTTCGGGCTTAGGGTTTGGGGTTTTAGGGTTTTGGGGAGTAGGGTTTAGGGTTGGGGGTTCAGGGTTTAGGGTTTATAAGGATTAGGGGCTTTATTTGGGGTATGGAGTACTTGTATGCGCGAAGCTTCGGTTAGGCTTGATCTGAAGGGGTTGCAAGGACCTGACGAGCAGGTACAACATTTTAGGAATATAGCTCTTGCAGTGGTTCTGGGTCGGCTTAATTAAGGCCTGCATAGCATACAGTGGGGAGATGCACAAGAGCTAGTTGATTATTTGGAGGTTTCCGAAAATAGGGGACCCTAACATAGTACCCTAAATAGTAGGATCCTTATTATAAGGACCCCAAATTAAGGTACCCCTTATTTTCCGAAACTCCCATTTGGAGGAGTATGTGAGGATAGCTCTTGCGGTTGATCTTTGGAAG